GAAAAAAAAAAGTCTTCTCCAACACCACAGTTCAAAGGCTTCACTTCTTCGGCACTCAGCTTTCTTTATAGTCCAACTCTCATATCCATACATGACCACTGGCAAAATCATAGCTTTGACTAGGTGGACCTTTGTTGGCAAAGTAATGTCTCTGCTTTTTAATATGCTGTCTAGGTTGGTCATAACTTTTCTTCCAAGGAGCAAGCATCTTTTAATTTCAAGGCTGCAATCACCATCTGCAGTGATTTTGGAGCCCCCCACCCCCGCAAAAAAGTCTGTCACTGTTTTCACTGTTTCCCCGTTTATTTGCCATGAAGTGATGGGACCGGATGCCATGATCTTAGTTTTCTGAATGTTGAGCTTTAAGCCAACTTTTTCACTCTCTTTCAGTCTCATCAAGAGGCTCTTTAGTTCTTCTTCACTTTCTGCCATAAGGGTGGTGTCATCTGCACATCTGAGGTTATTGATATTTCTCCCAGCAATCTTGATTCCAGCTTCTGCTTCCTCCAGCCCAGCATTCCTCATGATGTACTCTGCATATAAGTTAAATAAGCAGGGTAACAGTATACAGCCTTGACATACTCCTTTCCTGATTTGGAACCAGTCTGTTGTTCCATGTCCAGTTCCAACTGTTGCTTCTTGACCTGCATACAGACTTCTCAAGAGGCAGGTCAGGTGGTCTGGCTTTCCCATCTCTTTCAGAATTTTCCACAGTTTGCTGTGACCCACACAGTCACAGGCTTTGGCGTATTCAATAAAGCAAATGTAGATGTGTTTTCTGGAGCTCTCTTGCTTTTTCAATGATCTATTGGATGTTGGCAATTTGATCTCTGGTTCCTCTGCCTTTTCTAAAACCAGCTTGAACATCTGGAAGTTCACGGTTCATGTACTGTTGAAGCCTGGCTTGGAGAATTTTGAGCATTACTTTGGTAGTGTGTGAGATGAGTGCAGTTGTGTGGTACTTTGAACATTATTTGGCATTGTCTTTCTTTTGTATTGGGATGAAAATTGACCTTTTCCAGTCCTGTGGCCACTGCTGAGTTTTCCAAATTTGCTGGTGTATTGAGTGCAGCACTTTCACAGCAAAATCTTTTAGGATCTGAAATAGCTCAACTGGAATTCCATCATCTCCACTAGCTTTGTTCGTTGTGATGCTTCCTAAGGCCCACTTGACTTTGCACTCCAGGATATCTGCCTCTAGGTGAGCGATCACACCATCATGATTATCTGGGTCATGAAGATCTTTTTTGTACAGTTCTTCAGTGTATTCTTGCCACCTCTTCTTAATGTCTTTCCTTCTCTTAGGTCCATACCGTTTCTGCCCTTTATTGTGCTCATCTTTGCATGAAATTTTCCGTTGGTATCTCTAATTTTCTTGAAGAGCTCTCTAGTCTTTCCCATTCTATTGTTTTCCTCTGTTTCTTTGCTCTCTGTGGAAGGTTTTCTTATCTCTCCTTGCTCTTCTTTGGGACTCTGCTTTCAAATGGGTATATCTTTCCTTTTTCTCAGCTATTTGTAAGGCCTCCTCGAATTGAGAGAGAAGGTTGATACTTCTGGAGAATCAACAAAGTTGCCATCTTTGATAATGACAACTAATAATAGCAAACACTTAAAGGATATTTATTTTTATTTATTTATTTGGTTGCACTGGGGTCTTAGTTGTTATGTGCGATCCAGTTCCCTGATGTGGGATCGAACCCAGACCCCCTGCAGTCGGAGCTTGGGAGTCTTAGCCACTGGACCACCAGGGAAGTTCCAATGGGAAACATTTTTTGAGGTATTGTGGAATGCTAAGCCTTGTACTTCTTTATCTTATTTAATCTTCATAAAATACATAATAAGATGTTGTTGTTATTCCCATTTCTCAGGTGAAGAAATAGTGGCTTAAAAGGTGAATACCTCTTATACGTTGGTAGCTTTAAACACAACTCTTTCTGAGTCTAAACATTTGCTTCTCTTTATGAGAAAGTGGTCATGAAAAGTGCCATTCATTTTTCCTTAATTAAATAAATATTCACTAAGTGTTTAAGTGCCAGGTCTTGGCACTTTTGCTGATATAACGATGAACAAATAAGCAGGATACTTGCCTTTCTGAAGCTTATTGTCTAATAGTGGGGCAGGACCATGAATCAAAGGAATTCAGGGCTCGATAGGGCAGCAAGCTTGTGTTGAGACTGATGAAGATAATCTCTGACCTGGAATCTATATTTGTGCACAGTTAATATGTAAAACCTTGGATAAAGTATTGACCTTATAGTCTCATTAACTGTAAAATGGGTATAGTAATAGTAGGTTTCTTGACAAGTGGTTGTGATTTCAAATGAGGAAATGTGTGAAAGCTCTCGGCAAACTGCAAAATAGTCAGCAAGTATGAAAGGACTTGAAATATTTTTTTTCACTTTTTTCCCAAATGAGATACAACTAACATACGACATTAGTTTCAGGTACAACAGAATGATTCTGTATTTGTACGTATTGCAAAATGGTCACCAAAGAACTTTCCTTCATATTAATAAAAATTCACACATAAACAAGAAATAGAACAATAAAAACTCAAAAACCCCATAAACCAGCTTTAACAATGACCAAGTCATGGCTGACTGCTTCATCTCTAGTCATCCCCCTATTTACCAGATTTTGAGAAGTAACTCCTTGGCAACAGCATGTCTTTTTATCTATCTATTATCTATTTCAATACATATATCTCAAAGGAAGAGATTCTTTTAAAAAAAAAACAAACATACCTACAGGGCCTTCCCTGGTAGTTCAGTGGTTAAGAATCTGCTTGCCAATGTAGGGGACAGGGGTTCCATTCCTAATTCAGGAAGATCACACATGTCATGGGGTAAGTAAGCCCATGAGCCACAACTATTGAGCCTGTGCTCTCGAGCTGGTGCTCTGCAACACCAGAGAAGTCACCGTAATGAGAAGCCCATGCACTGCAACTACAGAAAACGTTCGTTCAGCAATGAAGACCCAGTGTGGCCAAAAATAAACAAACAGATAAACAATTTAAAAATAAACATACCCACAAGGGCTTCCCTGGTGGTCCAGTGGTTAAGAATCCACCTTGCAATCTCGGGGATACTGAGTTCCATCCTTGATCCAAGAAGATCCCAAATGCCACGAGGCAACTGAACTGGTGCTTGATAACTACGAAGCCCATGCGACTAGAGTCTGTGCTCCTCAACAAGACAAGGCACCACAATGAGAAGCCTGCACACTGCGACTGGAGAGTAACCCTAACTCTCCACAACTAGAGAAGGCCAACGTGTAGCAACGAAAATACAGCACAACCAAAATAATTATATTAATGTAAAAAACCCACAAATACCACTATCACTCTTAAAGAACTAAAAATAAAATTGACAGTAATTCTTAATTTTACAAAATATAATTTGACTTAATGGCTATATTTCCCTGGTTGTCCTAAAAAATTTGAGATCAATAGGTCTGAATCCATATTTAGACAAGATTCATATATATTGCAATTGGCTGAGATTTCATTCTTAACCTATAGGTCCCCCCTTTTAGGTTTTTGTTTTGCCTTTTTTTTTCCCCCTGAAGAAATTGGGTCCTATAAAACAGTGGTTCTTAAACTTTAGTGTGCACCAGCGTCCTTTAAAATCATCTGGAGAACTTGTTAAAAGCACAGATTGCTGTGTCTGGTCTCCAGACATCCTGATTGAGTACTGAATCTCTAACAAGTTCCCAGGTGATGCTGATGCGGCTGGTCTGGGACAACACATTGAGAGCCACAGTCTGGATTTCTCGAACTGTATCCCCGGGAGAAGGAAATGGCAACCCACGCCAGTATTCTTGCTTGGGAAATCCCATGGACAGAAGAGCCTGGCGGGGGCTACAATCAGTCCTTGGGGTGGGAAAAGTGTCAGACCGCACGCAGTGATTAAACAAGGGCAACAATAGAACAATCCCTTGGAGAGGGTTCCTTCAACACGTTCATCTTCCATTTTCCTGTTAAGTGAAGCTTATTGAGATGCCTACATAACAGCATAATGGTTTAAAAATGAGGGTTTGGGACTTCCCTGGTGGTCCAGGGGTTAAGAATCACCTTCCCATGCAGGTAACTCTGGTTCCATCCCTGGTCGGGTAACTAAGATACTCCATGGCACAGAGCAGCAAAGTCCAGCGCCACAGCTACTGAGATGTGGGCTTTAGAGCCCGTCCTCCGAGAGAAGTCAGCGCTTGGATGAAAAGCCCTTGGCCGCAAGTGAAGCCGCTGCCTGAGGTAACTAGAGAAACCCATGTGCCCAAGAGCCACAACAAGGCGCCAGCACAGCCAAAATTACGTAAACAAACAAACAAAAACCCCTCAAGATTTTAAGGTACGTGTTAGAGACCTAGTGTGGATGGGTTTAAATCTCTTCAAACATTTATTTGCCTTGTAACCTTGGGCAGCTCGCTTAATTGTTCCGTGAACTCAATATTCAGGGTCCTCCTGAGGAGTAAATGAAATTTCGAAAAGTAAAATGTTCACCTAGCCTACTGCCTGGCACATAGTAGTGACAGTCACTCAGTCGTGTCTGACTCTTTGCGGCCCCATGGACTGTAGCCCACCAGGTTCCTCTGTCCATGGGATTCTCCAGGCAAGAACACTGGAATGGGTTGCCATTTCCATCTCCAGGGGGTTTTCCCGACCCAGCAATTGAACCCATGTCTCCTGCATCGCAGGCAGATTCTTTACCGACTGAGGTAGGAGGGAAGCCTGGCACATAACAAATGCTCAATAAACGATTATGATTTTTTTTCAACCAAAAAATAACAATGGGGCGCACAGGTTGCGGAAGCTCATGACTTCTGGGCTTTTGTTGTGTTTACGTAAGCAGAGCTAAGGAGGAAGGCTCTAAAGGAGACCTACCTGGAGAGAAGTGGAGAGAGGACAAACTCTCAAGGCCACTTCTTAAGTCAGCCTGGGGCTTGGCCCCTTTAAGGAGGGCGGGGACACGTGACCTACAGGGTCACATGGCTCGCGGGACAACATGGCTGCGCCCGCGCTAGGGCCAGCTCGAGGATGCGGCGCCGGGCTCACTCTTGTCCTCTTGTTGTCGCTGTTCTTGCTGCTAGGCTGGGAGGCGCGGGGCGAAGAGGCTGGGCCTGAGGCAGGCGCGCCGTCCCTCGCGGGCTCCTGCGGTTGTGGCAATCCCCAGCGGCCCGGGGCCCAGGGAAGCTCGGCAGCCGCGCACCGATACTCGCGGGAGGCAAACGCCCCGGGCTCGGTCCCCGGAGGGCGTCCATCCCCGCCCACCAAGGTGCTTTCTCGATTCCCTAATGATGGGTGGGGGTCGCCAGGTTCCTCGACAGGGTTGGGATGGGTAAACCAAGTGGTTGGAGGAGGGCAAGTAAAGATTAAATCACATCGCCAAGACGCGCACTGGTCGATCTAGTTTGATGAGAAGTTCCTCCGCCCTCCAAAACAACTGGGTCTTGGGGTTCTGCGTAATTCTGAGCATTAGGTAGTGGCTTGAGGACAGTTGTCTCTCCTTTTCTTGTCTCTTATTTCCTACTTCCTCTTCCTTCAACCCTGTGTTCTTGAGGAGGTTCTCAGAATTTTAATTTAGACAGACGTAGGTTTAGACTTCCCAGGTGGTGCCAGGGTAAAGAATCCATCTGCCAATGCAGGAGATTGGGGTTTGATCCCTGGGTTGGGAAGATCCAGTGAAGTAGGACATGGCAACCCATTCCAGTATTCTTGCCTGGAAAATTCCATGGACAGAGAAGTCCTAGGCTCCTCTCATTAATTGTGAAGGAATCAGGACACTGGGTGTCAGTATCTGTAACACTGTTGTATATTTACCGGTAGTCTCTTACTGTAGATTCTGTTTCTTGAGTACTTGTCCTGTTTATTCTGCTGTCCCTAGCACTTTAGCAGATGTGAAGAACTAAGTAAAACAGTAGTAGTAGTTGTTGTTGTTGAGTTGCTAAGTCGTGTCCAACTCTTGTAACCCTGTGAATTGCAGCTTGCCAGACTTCTCTGTCTGTGGGATTTCCCAGGCAAGAATACTAGAGTGGGTTTCCAGTTCCTTCTCCAGGGGGATCTTCCCAACTCAGGGATGGGACCGGGCTCTCCTTCATTGGCAGGCAGATTCTTTACCACTGAGCCGCCTGAGAAAGCCTCCTGCAGACCTTACCTAATCTCTTTCCTTTCTGCCCCTTCACTATTTCCATATGCTGACACAGTAGTATCTGTTTACTCTGGTATAACCAATACTAAAGATACTTGACTGCTGGTGTCTCACCCCAACTAGCTTGTGAGAGTGATGGGGGTCAGGACCATAATCTTGTGACTCTGTATAGAGTGTTAGGAGGTTGGTAACTGGACTTCTCTTTGTTTCTCCATCCTATGTTGTAATTATTGGCATTTAAATTTTTGTTGTTCCTCAAAGGATGCCCTGAATTATTAGCATTTATCTTTTGTGTGGTAAGGAGCTTTGGTTACAATTACAGTGTGTGTTGGCCATATTCCTCTAACTTGAATGGTGATTGATAGTCTGTCCCTCCTTCTGTGAGAAAGCCATCTGTTGCTCTGCTTTGTAACAGGGTTGCTGTCTTATTTGCATGTACACTGGTCTGTGTCAAACTTTTACCAAGGACCTTCTGGCCAGTACTGGACATTCCTCATTTTAAAAGCTCCAATGTTTGATTGATCCAAAAATAGGATGTAGGTATATTTTGAATTACATTTTTAAGATATGCTGTTTTTTCAGCCCTTTAGAGTGGTTTCATGTCCAGATTGAATATTGTATGGGTCATCTTTGGCCATATTTTGCATTCACTTTAAACATTAATTAAATTATATTTTGTTTACATGCATTTATTTTATGTTCATTTTCACTTCCAATCAGTTTCTATAATGTTTAACAATTGTTGAGAACACAGCTCACAAGCCTTGAAGGACTCCTAAACTTAATTCTTGAACATGAAATGGACTTCTTATCAAGACAAAGGACTTCTTAGGAGGCTATTCTTTGTCTCTCTATTTTCCTTGGTTTCCAATGTTTTAGTTTATATGCAAATGACTTTAGTCTCATTCTGACACTTACCGATTTATTCTGAATTTTGGAAATCCAGTATTATGGGAGAGATACATGGTCCTAGTGATAACTCTTTTTCCTCTTAATTTTCTTTTTTCTTTTAGAAAAAGGATTTTTATTTTTGAGCAGTTTTAGGTCAGAGCAAAATTGAGAGGAAGGTAAAGAGATTTCCCATGAATTTCCTGCCTCAAAACATGCATAGCCTCTCCCATTATCAACATCCTCCACTAGAGTGATATGTTTGTTACAACTGGTAAACCTACACTGATATATCATAATCACCCAAAGTCTATACACTTGACCTTTGAAAAACGTATAGGTTAGGGACACTGGCTCCTTGTGCAATCAGAAATCCTTGTATAACTTTATAGTTGGACCTCCATATCTGTGGTTCTGCATTCCAGGATTCCACAAACTTCAGATCATGTATGACAGTACTGAAGTATGTATCTTTTGGGGAAAAAAAACACATATAACTGTACCCTCGAAGTTCATACCTGTATTCAGCAATCAACTGTAATTTACTTTAGGGTTCTCTCTTTGTGTTGAACGTTTTATAGGTTTAGACGAATGTACAGTGACATATATTCATCACTATAGTATCATGCAGAATATTTTTATTGCCCTTAAAATCCTCTGTGCTTTGCCTATTCATCCCTCTTCCTCCTCCCCACTGGCAACCACTGTCTTTTTACTGTCTCCTTAAGTTTTGCCTTTTCTGTAATATCTTATATTTGGAATCATACGATATATAGCATTTTCAGATGGACTTCTTTCACTTAGGGATATGCATTTAAGTTTCCTGCATGCCTTTTCATAGATTGATAGCTCATTTATTTTTAGTGCTGAATAATAATGCATTGTCTGGATGTACCACAGGTTATGCATCCACTTAACTGAGGGGCATCTCGCTTCCTTCTGAGTTTTGACAATTATGAATAAAGCTGCTATAAACATCTGGGTGAAGATGTTTATATGACGACATATAGCAAGAGTATGTTTAGTTTTGTAAGAAACTGCCAAACTGCCTTCTAAAGTGTCTGTACCATTGTGCATTCTGCAGTGTATGGGAGTTCCTGTTGCTCCACACGCTTGTCAGCATTTGGCGTTGTCAGTGTTTCTGATTTTGGCCGTTCTAAGATGTGTTGTAATGGTATCTTGTTTTAATTTGCATTTTTTGGTTGACATGCTGAGCATCTTTGCTACCTGTATATCTTCTTTGGTGAGGTTTCTGTTAAGGTCCTGGCATTTTTTTATTGGGTTGTTTTCTTATTGTTGAGTTTTAAAGGTTGTTTATTTTGGATAACAGTCCTTTGTCAGATGTGTCATCAGCAAATATTTTCTGCCAGTCTGTTGCTTGTCTTCACAATTCCTTGACAGTTGTCTTTTGATAAGTGGTCTGTGTTTAGATTTTTTTTTGTTTGTTTCCATGTGACTGTCCAGTTGTATCAACATTTGTTGAAAAGACTGCTGTAGGTCTGTTGTATTGCTTTTGCTCCTTTGTCAAAGATAATTTGCTTGTGTTTATGGAGGTCTATTTCTGATCTCTCTCTGCAATTTCATTAATCTAGTTGTATGTTCTTTAACCAGTGCATGTCTTGGTTACTGTAGTTTTATAGTACGTCTTGAAGTTGCATAATATCTTTCCTCTAACTTTGTTTTTCTCATCAATATTGTGTTGGTTCTTCTAGATCTTTTGCCTCTACCTATAAACTTGAGTATTGTATTATTGATATCGATCAAATAACCTGCTGGGATTTTGATTGAGGTCGTATTGAATCTGGTTTTTTGTTATTTAGTTTAATTCAACAAAGTTTTATTTGACACACATGTAAGACTGTGTCCTGTGTAATGGGCATAAAGAAAAGAAAGACTTATGCCCTACCTGAAGGCATTTACTTGTTGATAGGTCTTTCTTTCTTCTCTTTCTGTCTCTCTCTCACACACACAGATTCACAAGTACATGCAAGCATCATTTTTCTATTGTGACTGTGCTCTAGGAGGAGTATGTACAAAGCAGTTGGAGAGGAAAAAAGGATTCTTTCTTCCTGGACAAGTCAGGAGGTGCTCAAAGAAAAAGCTGCATTAAACTAGGCTTTGGAAGAAACATTTTCAGCAGTTGGGGATGGTGGGGCAGCTTGAAGGACCTTGCAAGGAGGAGAATAGCATGGGTACAGACAAATCATTGTACAAATGCATTGGTGTATTCTAGGAAATGTAAGTAATTTAAGGTTTCTGGGGGTGACATTTTTACCCTATTTTATGTAACACCTCTTTTAGGTGTGAGGTTTTTTTTTTAAACTTTAATTTAATGAGCACTTGGCAAGATGAGGTACACAAGTAAATAGCACTGGGCTTTACTCTCAAGGAATTTAGTTTCACTAGAAAGGTGAAGCAGCAAGAATTGTCTGGGAAACACTAGAGATTCTTTCAAATTTTACTTAAGTTTCCTCTGGTTAACAAAATATACAGTGCTCTTTGAGAAAGCTTGTCTACCAGTGTTCTACACTGCTGAGTATTTTATAAAAAGGTATCAAAATATTTTAATTTCCATGTATCTTTTACAATAGTTGTTTTATGTGGCATTGAGGATAATGAGATGATAAAATTGGATGTGCCATCTCTGTTTGTATAGGTGAAGTCAGTTGATTTCCTGTCTGAGAATGGTTTGATAGGGTAATGCTGACCCAGGTTCAAGGCGTGATTGAATGCCGTCTCTCTGACCCCTTGCCTCCAGGAAGAAGTAGAGTTTTTATCCTCTGTGTTCTCAAGTACTTTGTCGTTGTTTGAGGGAAACGTCTATATTTTCTTTAAAGTGGTGTTATTTGTGTAATTGTTTGATGTCTCATTCCACATGGGAAGCAATTTTTTAATCCTACTTTAATCTCTGTATTCTCCGAGTGCTTTACACATTTAAGCATGGTATAACAATTTCTGGAATGATCTTACGTTTTGGTTGTTACTGGCTACAATATTGAGAAACTGCCAAGGGAATAAAGGGCATCAGATACTTTTTAAAGAAACCTTTGGCAAGCAGTCATTTTGCTGTATCTCATCCTCCCAAAGATCCTGTGAGATATTATTCCCCAGTTTACAGACGTAACAACTGAGGCCGAATAGAATCATAAACTCACAGGGCTTGAAGGGACTTTGGTATTCCATCTGCAATTAGTGGCAGGAGAGTGAGAGGATGATGGAGGTAGATAATCCTACATAGA